ACGCTGGACCTAATTTCCGGTGAATTCTTTTTTAGGCTTTTGTAGTATTGTACTGATCATGTGATTTTTGGGAACACTCCACCCAGTGTTGAGCAAGTGCGTTTTTCAGGAGAAACACATGCTCTAAGTGACCCCTGCCGGGAAAAAAAAAAAAAAAAAAAAAAAAGGGGCTCTCAGCAGTTCCTGTCATATGGAGGAGATTTCGTCTTGGAATGGGAGAGGTGCTGAAGCATTGCAGATGAAATGGTACTGCCGGAAAGCGACGACAAAAACACGGATTGTCAAGTTTTCATTGGTTATGTGTACAGCCTGACTAGACCCAGAGGAGGAGTAGGAGGGAGGGGGGAGGAGAAATTATAGTTGCTGAACAGTCCGAGTCACGCGACATAAATAAGTAGAGATTACTTCAAACGATCGTGTTATTCGCCTGGAGGCGAGAGTGTAGACTGAGAGGAGGGAGGTGATAAGATTTATCCTCATCAGGGGAGGAAATAATGTTGTGGTAGGTTGGAGCAGCACATGTTCTGCAGATGCTATGCTGCTGGGAAAGCTGCTCAGTGATCACCGATCAGTGATCACCCATCAGCTGATACAATAAGACAAGTTTATCTGCGGAGAAAGAATTAGAAGCATGTCTCTCCACCAGCAGTGAAGGTAACTTAGGTTAGCAAAGTTCACAGAGATACAGGAGTGGTAGGTATGTGAATGACGCACCAAGGAAGTGCTGTTGGTCAAGGCAGGCACAGACAGAGACAGAGACACAGAGAGAGAGAGAGAGAGAGAGAGAGAGAATAGGATGTCAGGCTGCTGTCACAGGCGGAGACGATCACCCAGACTGGGATAGGGAGGAGAGGCGGGAGTATCTATTGCTAGTGCTATGAAGCTGTTTCCAAGGGGTAAGAATCTGGGAGTGAATAAGTAGGCAGTTTCTCTGTGGAATTCGGCATAGGGCGTAGGTATACAATAATGAGGAACGTTACGTCACCGTCTGTTAAGTCTGTCACATCCTGTTTTTTTCCTGTCTTTTGGTGCTCGATCATGCTGTGGGGCCTAGTAATAATTGTTTGCGTCAACAATTTTTGTATGTATGGTACGCTGTCGTTTCTGAGTGATGATCAAGAGTTCAAACCGCGATAATGCAAGGAATATGAGCGAGAGCGATAGACAGAAATGATAAATCCAAGTTGCAAAATCACGAAGAAGCTCAGAGAGTCGTGAACCAAGCAGAGAGTGCAATGCACCAAGATACCATACCGTCCTAACAAGAGCAATTATGCAATGAACTCGAATGTCAATGGCGCCACTCTCTGGTCACACCGACACTGTATCCGATGTCGCACTTAAAGTCTGGCGCCCAGCGCCCAGCCTACTCAGCCTATCTAGCCTATCTACGTTCTTTTTTTTTTCTTTTGTTTTTTTTAAATGGAAAACACCCCCACGAGTGTTAGCGGTGCTGATAAGAGCAGACACCACTAGCACCCGGGGAGAGGCTCCATCTATTGGTGGGGAGCGTCACCTGCTGGAAAACGGGTGCAGCGTCCCTTATACAGACTGAAATTAGAATACATCAGAAAAATGCAACTGGTTCACTCTGAAGTCGAAGACCAATGGACGTGGCGTCAACACCAATGCCGAGCACCAGCATACACCAGGTAAGTTCTCTCTCCTCCCCTCGTCACCCTTCGTCTTCCCACAGCATGTGCCTCCTACCCAAAGACCAGCTTCGGCATCACCTGCCCTGCGCCCCAGCTGCCTGGCTGTGGCTGCTGTGCGCCCGCTGCCTCAGCAGCGCCCCTCTCACCACGGCGCCCATGCGCGCGTCTGACCGGCAGCGCCCATGCAAACGCTAGCGCAGCAACGCAGCAGTGTGTCCGCATTGCCTGCCTAGGCCAGAATGCCCCTGTAACGAGAGTGAGGCTGAGGGTGAGCCGAGGGAGAGGAGAGAGAGAGGGAGAGAGTGAGAGCACACACACACACTCACTCACTCGACACGACGGACTCGGACTGAGGGTTGGACGCAGACACAGTGGCAAGGCACAAAGTCGAAGTCTTGGATTCCCAATGCCGAAACGGCAAGTCACACTGAGTACAAGTACAGCAGCAGAGAACTGGTACGAGACTGGCCCCCGTACCGTACGGGGAGCCGGTATAAGTACCAGTGACACGTACAGTACCAGGGGTATTTCTGCAAAGGCCCCGAGGGCAGAACTGAAAAATGCAGTATTTGAAAGTGGCGCCCGAATTGCAGCATGGCGCCAGTTGTCCAAAATCCTACGGTACCAAA